TAATGTTTCTCTCACCGTTAACGAAAGTTATTGCTACTAAAAAATTCACAAATGTACGAGGGCGGTTTCATAAATACGTGACTTTAATTAAAAAATGTTTTCGGAATTTATTTCTTAATTTAGAACTCCTTTCTAAGCAACGGACGTAACTTTTTTAAATTAGCGCGAAAATAAAATTTGTTTTCATCGTTCGGTTCAACTCACAGTGGCGCAGAGTCGAAGCGTCGCGTCGCGTCCTGTTTTTCAACTACAACGACCGGCGGCACGCGCGTCGACTCTCGCATTAGTGCGCCCGGATCGCAGTGTGGTCTGACGCCTCACAGCGCTCAAGTAGCGAAGCCGCTCGACTGCATCCATATTTGCATAACACAAAGTCGTACCTTAATAATGGGAAAATAGAGATGAATATGCTATAGGCGAAAAACATGATGCGTCGCAACGCTTCGTCTCTGCGTCAGTGAGAGCCTTAAAAATTAAAAAGCGTTAGGTGAGGACGGTATATTGTTTGAAGATGGAGAAAACGCAAATTCGATTATTCAGTTTCTCATTTGCAATCACGACATCAAAAATGTCGAATTGTAGTACGGATTATTACCGCAGCCCCCGTATTAACCAAATTTGACCTTACCTGACTTTTTTTGTCATATTTTTTACCGATTTGCATGAAATGAGGACGTGACAGCTGAAAATTCTTCAGTTTGACAAAAATAAAATTTGGGTAGTTGAAGAAGTTGGATATAGCTAGTCACGGTGTTAAAAAATTAGATTACGGAGAAAAATAAACCACAAAACAATGAAAAAAAAAATTTTTTTTTTTCTTCTCAAAGTCACAGGGTTGCCAAACCGCCCTCGTACATACTGCCATAAGGGTTTGAATCGTCGTCATTGAGAAGCAACCGTTCTTACTAATCTCCCGGTCTCTTGCTAGTTTTTAGTTGACCTTTTACAGTAAACAAAAATTTTTAAATAATGTTCATACATTTCCTTGTTAGTAGGCATTATTAGTAACTAAGTGGAAGTGGCAGATACTGGTTACGTCTCGTGGAGAACCGTGAGCATTGGTGGTCATTGGAGGAGGCTTTTGCCCGAATGAGGTGCAAACAATCACCATGGTTCACGTTTAAAAAAAATGTAATTCACATTATCTTCTAAATGTCGATAACTAATATTAATAAGTTTAATATAACTTAAAAGTTAAAAAGGTAATAAATTACCATTTTATAATTTGAATTCAATTAAGTTATGTTTATTACGTGTCACAATTTTTATTTTATAAGAAATATGTAATGTTAGTTGGAATTTAAATAAAGCTTTATTTGTTTATTATTGTTATAATTCATAATTTTTTATCTAATTTGCTTTTAAATTTGTAACTTCCATCATTTTTTTATAATATCAAGTGAAGATGTGCCTGGTGGTAAACTACATATGCCTGTACATAACAGTTGCAGTGTCAATCAGAGCTTCATATCACAAGGATCTCAGGAGCACTGCCAGTGCGCTTGTCACCCAGAGACATAAGTTGACAATTCCCATGTGCCAATAATTTCACTAGTACCCTTAACACTTCAACACCGGAAGGTAGTAACAACGCTCACATAACCGCAGAAATAGGTAAGGTGGCAGTACTTCTCTCAGAACTCTTTCAGAAGGAGCTCTAGTACTGCTAAATCTATTTAGAATAGATTTTTTTACAAGTCGAATTGCAAACAGGGTAATTGATATCGTCTTAGCGTTAGGCGCGAACAAAGATTTTCTTTATTCCCAACTCTCAGAAAACACTTTATACAGTCTGAAACTTGAACCAAAAGGACTCGAAACACGTAACAAGCAAACCTAACGGTATTATATTCTTCAAAGCTATCGATTCCCTGTGACCTCTGCGCGCCATTACTCTAAGCCTATGCTTGTATCTAACACTGTCCAACTGTGCTTGATATTGTTTTTTTTTATATTATTATATTTTTGTCAAAATATCTTAATGGTGTCACCCATTTCATTACGAGTCGATACTAAAGCAGCACGAATTAAAATTTTTCCCGTACTGAATCAGTTCTATTGCGCGGGTCGAACGCCAGGGGTATTAATTTCATTTCAGATTTTTTTACAAACGAAATTAAAGCGTAGTGCCCCTCAGATCTTTGCAATTTAAAGCTCTGAGTGGCACTGTAACTGTTATGGACAGGCACACGCCTGCTTGCCAGCTTACCATCAGGCGCAAGACTTGTTCATCCCGTCACTTGATGTTATAAAAAAAAGACAACCACAATTACGCCCAAACTCTTGAGAGAAATAAATGTAGGCCATACAAATTATTCTCCCGGCCCGGTATCGAACTCAGAACCTCCGCGTGGCAGACCAGGATGGTAACCGTTCGGCCACGGAGGCAGTACAAAAAAAACCTAACTCAAAAGTTCGTGGAATTACATCTGTTTGCCAGTTATATTGAAATCGGTTACCGGAAAGTACATAAAATCCTAGTTTACTACCCTTACAGGTGGAAGAAAATATATTTCAAATATAAATGGAACCAATACTGAGGTGCTCTCTTTCTAATAAAAACGGTTCACAAATACCGGAGTAACCACGTAACATACAAAAAATAAACAAAATAGAATCTTATTGAGAACCTTCTCCTTTTTTGAAGTCGGTAAAAAAAATTAAGATAAATATAAACTCACACCAATGTTATATAAAACCACTGTGACACCGTGGTTCATACATTTTTTATAACAATAGAAATTGGTTCAATTCCCATGATAATAAATACCAAACAATATTGCCACTATCGCAATATGTCCTATTTTACACGTAGCTGTCATATTGTGTTTGTAAGGAAAAACGAAGGAAACTCAGTCTTTATCTAGTTATCTTCACTTATGATTGAAAGCAACCTGATTTTGTATGAAATAAGCGGCTTATTTTTTTTTAATTATAATCTGATGCTGTGAAGTATGTCACAAATATAGTAGAACACCTAATTAATACCTTAATTTTTTTTATAGAGCTTTAAATCGCAAAGATCTGAGGGGCACTGCCCTTGTGAAATATAATATAATCGAATACAATAGATAAAATAAATTTATTAATTAAACCCATTAACTAAATTAACTGACTAACGAACTAAACTAACCGGTGACTCATGATTAAGGACCATAGACAGGTTTGAGACATATCTAGCAAAAATTCGACTTAAGTATGATTTATCCGTTAGTTTATTATTTTTTTTATAACATTAAGTGATGGGACGAACAAGGCGTGCGCGTGATGGTAAGCTACACGCCTGTCCATAACAGTTAAAGTGCCACTCATAGTTTTAAATTGCACCCTGAGACATATGTTGACAAGTCCCATGTGCCTCTAATTTCACCAGCACCCTTGCCCCTCAAAACCGGAACACAGTAATGCTGACATTACTGCTTGGCGGCAGAAATAGGTAAGGTGGCAGTACTACCCTGGACGAACTCTCTCACAAGGAGGTCTGTTGCTACTAAAATAAGCCATGAGTCTCACTTTAAATTTCTGTTTAAAAATATTACATTGAAGAAATTTAAACTGAAGCTTTTATATTACAATCATTGACTTACAATTATATGGACGTCGGGTCCGCACTAAAAAGTGTCCGCACTTGTAAGGCGCTAAAATCGTATACAGAGCGCGACACTCCGCTTTAGTCTTCATTTGTTCTACGGACAGCGCGATACTGCGATGACATAACAATTTAAATTTCGAATAGGTTGACTTGGGACATTTTTTTCGTGGTTTTTGTATTAGACCCGTCGTCCATTTATTTGTAAGTCAATGATTACAATACAATATATTGGTGGGTACTTTTCGTCTGCTTCGATATTATCACGAATTGGATTTAATGTCGCATGTCCAATGTCCACAGGAAATGTCACTTTTTATCGTAACGATGCCATTCACTATAATGCTTGCCACGGTGGTGATAGAATTTGCCAATCCGCGTAACGTACTCGCCGAAAATAGTACGTGATGCGGTGAGGCTTTTTTCGTGTACACAATGTCACTAAAGTTTTATTGTTTAAATATTCTTACTCTAATTGTCAATACAGACGCTAAATCGAAATTTTCCAACATTTTTTGAACATTCCCATTTTGGAAATGAAACTATTGTTCCGGATTTAAATCGCGTATATTTGTTTTTTCAAACAAACCGACGTTTCGAGTTCTTAGGTTTTCGCGATTGTTACACATAGGAAATGAAACTATTGTTCCGGATTTAAATCGCGTATATTTGTTTTTTCAAACAAACCGACGTTTCGGGCCCTTTACAGGTCCCATGGTCACGGTTGACGGTCCCATTCCCATTTTAACAAATGTGTTCATAATATAACCGTTAATGAATTATGTAACGTTGGAGCTGTCACGTCGGTTTTTATTGAAATAACTGAGTATAAACGAAATACATCGTTGAGTCGTTTCATCGTCAAAATATGTCGGTCAATCATGTTAATGTCAGGATTTTGTCATATATCTGATAGTTGGAAATTTTTGAAGTCTATTGGCTTAGTTAGGCCTCAGACTGACGCTTTACCTCATCCTTGCACTCTTGACGATGTCAATCGGCATTTCTCTTTGTCAGCACTCAATGGGCAGGCAAAGCGGATGCTCTGAAAGATGTCGTCTCCTTGTGCTGCCAACCATCTGAAAGTTTTATCTTTTCTTTGTTGTCGGAGTCCGATATTTGCAAAACGATAATGTCTTAATATACTTAATAAAATATTCTTGATATAAAATGTTTTAAATTAAGTATTGTAATGATAAATGTATTCAAATGTATGCATAAAAAGAGCAACCCCTAGAGTTTCTTGCTCATTTTTTTCAGGGGATTCTGCCTTACGAATGATTATTAGAGTTTAATCAGTATGACGATTTCAAGTGTAATTTGCTTACCTATGAAATAAAGATTATTTCACTTTGACTTTAGCGTTCTCAATTTCTCGATACAAAAATAAAATGTGTGTTTTTCATTGCAGTTTGGAGCGAAGCTGGCGCCGTGAGCCATGGACTCAGAGAGGTAAGCCAATATTGTGATTGTTAAGCTCTTGACCGTTCGATTAATTTGACTAAGCCGCTGACGTTTGCTGTTGCCCGTCCAAATTGGAACGCTGGGTACAAGTTTGTTGGTCGTTTCATTGGAACTTTGCTAATTTGAGATCACTACGTTGAAATTTAACTTTGTTCAATGTGCAACAGTCTCCTTTTCGTAAGAATAGTACACAATCATTACTACCTGTACCGCTAGCATGACAGGGCGCGATTTTAGCGACAAGCGACAAAAAAAGGAGATGTTTTCAATTCGACTGTATTTTTTTGTGTGTTTGTTATGCAATTACTCCGGTATTCGTGAATCGATTTTGATGATTCTTTTTTTGTTGGAAAGAGGGTACCTCAGTATTGGTCTCATATAAATTTGAAGAAAATATTCCACCTCCAAGGTTAGCAAATTATGGGGATAAATTATTGGATCTCAACCACTTCCCGTTAACTTTTGAAGTTGGCTTACTATCTTATATCTATGATACCTAGTGACGGGACGAGCAAGTTGTGTGCCTGGTATTAAGCGACAAGCCTCTCCATAGCAGTCTCTCTGCCACTTACAGCTTTAAATTGGAAAGATCTGTGAGGAGCTCTGCTATTGCCTCTGATAACCTGAGACACAAGTTGACAAGTCTCGTGTGCTTTTAATTTCATCAACACCTTTACCATGTAGTTGAGGTCTCGTATAAAACTTCATGCATTAACTGCATGCAGTCGAAACCGTCTTCATGCAGCCGAAGATCGATCGATGCAATCTGTTAACAGCATTAGGCTCGGCATGCGTGAGAAGCGACATAAAAGCAAGGGAATAGCAATGTGTATCTTACCTATTTCTGCCTCCAAGCAGTAATGTGAGTATTGTATATGTGGTTTTGAAAGGTAAAGATGCTGGTGAAATTACAAGCACATGGGAGTTGTCGACTTATGTCTCAGGTTGACGGGCGCAGTGGCAGTGCCCCTCAGATCTTTGCGATTTAAAGCTCTTCGTGTCACACTGTAACTGATCTGGACAACCGTGTCGCTTTCCACTAGCCGCACGACTTGTTCGTCCCATCACTAGACACGATAAAAAGGTTATATTCCGACTTTGTACTGTATCTAGAAAATTAAATTTTTCCACCTAATGTATACTCTCTTTGTTGCACTAATCTTATTGTAAGGTTTAATTAACTCGATTGCGGCACAGCCAAAACATGGACCAAAGGGAAAGTAATTCAGTTACTGACAGCAATACGTAAAAGGAAACCTTTTACCGTAAATAGGTGATTAAAGTCGAGGTATCTTCTTCTCTTGTTACATTGGGCTCGAACGTCTGAGCCCACATTTATATTGTGCACAATAATTGCCTGCAAATTCTGAAAGTTTGCTTAACACCTAAATAGGCTATCAAGAAACCATCAAAGGCGTTGAGGCAACAATAGTTGATACCCTCGTCAGCTTAATGCTCAATAATGACAGCTTCGTACATTGTTGCCCGTTTTACACGATGGATAAAAAGAAAAATTTGTACCAAATTGTAGTGCAAATATTTGAATATCATCATTTGCTAATACTAATTCAAAGCACAGTTGATGTAATCGGATTTCTTATGATCCGGAAGAAAGAAAGCCATAAGTAGTAGAGCTGCTTGTGACAGAGATCATCTAGAGAAGTACTGCCACTATTTCTGCCGCAGTAATGTGAGCATTAATGCGTTCCGGTTTTGAAGGGTAAACGCGTCTTCGCACTGCATTCGATTCGTATTTATTCCGAATCCGAGAGTATACAAATCTAGAAAGCTCGGACCCACTTCGGACGTCGCTTGTGCACTAAGTCCAATTCGAATCCGAGAAAATACAAATATCGCTTGGACACCTAGAGTTAAAATTATCCCTGTGACATTTCGGACCAAAGATATTGCTCACTGTTTCGGACCGCTATTTCTAATATTCGGAACTATCGGACAACTACGACTGTTGCGCACCAGCGCAAACGCTCATTAGGGCAGTGAAATTACATCAACATTTACAGGTTGTCAAGTACCACCATTGACAATTGTATGTCTCAGGGTGGCGGGCTCAGTGGCAGTGTTCTTCAGATCTTTGCGATTTCAAGCTCTGAGCGGTATTGCAACTGTTATGGACAGCCATGTCGCTTACCAACAAGCGCGCGACTTGTTAAAAATTCGAATATAAAAATTATTTAGGTATATATAGCCGTTTAAAAATTCTTCATTTACTTTTCTAAGTGGGTAGAAAAAAGAAAATAAAAAGTTTAATTTCTCATAATAATTCACACTAAACCAACTGAAAATCCAAATAATTGATCCGATAAGAATTATTTAATTACCAGTGTGAATCTAACTATAAATCCAAAATTTCACTATTAATGTTACGACCTTTTGGTTTTCACCTTCCTGTTTGTAAAGATTTTAAACAACTAATAATACATTATAACAACAAATAATTTTATATCTTGTTTACACAGAAGCCGTTGAGTCCCATGTGCCCCTGACCGACGTCATGCTGGTGTCAGATTAATGATATGTTCATTTATTAACGAAATCCAGAGCACTTTCAGAAGTAGGTCGCAATCATCATGTGATTATTTCTGCAAGAACTTCAGAGGTCTTTAGTTCTCGCCGTTTGTTCGTTCTTTGAATTGAAATGAAACGTAAATTAAAATTATATAATGAAGGACCATGCGAGTGTTTGAAAAAGCAAACACACACGATCTAGATTTAAAAACATAGTTTCATTCCCACTTGTATAGGAAATCTAAGAATAATAAACCTAAATATGTACTGACGATTTAGAGAATGAAATCAAATGACAAATAAATTAGTCTTGGGAATGAAATTACTTTTTTCCGGATCTAAATAAATATTGTTATTTATGTCTTTTAACGTTCCGGACTTTTTACGTTTCCCATTGTCACGGGTGACTAAGTAATTAATGTTAATTTCAGAATTGTACTTGTTTTCGAACTGGTCTATGACCAAAAATCTTACTAATTACATCTATTTGCCAAGTTTTATTGTAATCGGTTATCGGAAAGTGCGCGAACCTGGATTCATCCCCTAGGTTGCCAACTTTAGAGGTGGAATATTATTTGAAATTTAAATGGGACTAATACTGAGGTACCATTTCATACCGTTTTAATTACGGCCACATTTACGGTACTCCTGATTATAATCAAATAAAGCTCCAATACGGAACTCGTGAGCATATCAAAAGGCTAATCTGATTACCAGTCGGAGCTTGTACCAGAGACGCATATCATCTGCTTCGCTGAATTAACTACAGAACGGCAAATTTCCGATTGGATTAAACGTATGGGGAAGCCGTTAGTGCTATGTTGCTATGCAGCTTTGAACTAGTGTTGCTCGCCAGTAGTAAATCTGTCAATAGTCGATACTATCGGATTTATAGTTCAATCGATACTTAAGAAAATTAAACTGATTATACGTTTGACTGATGTGCATTTCACGTTTTCCGAAGTTTGCGAATCTTTTTCGGTGTGCAGGCTTCATCACGATATTCACGATGCTTCCTTCACCGAAAACCTCTTGGTAAATATCAAACTCAATTTCAGACATAAATTCCGAAAACACGTAGATGGGAGCCCGGATTCGAACCCACGGCCTCTGCTTGAGAGGCGGTAGGTCAAACCATTAGGCTACCATGCCCAGACAATTACATAATAATTATAGGAATTAGGAAAACATCGGTGGATAATGATGACAGTAATTATTGTAGCATCTACGAAAGTGACTAACAAAGCTTTAAATTCTACTCAAGCTTTGCAGCAGAGTTAAGTGATGGAATTCATAATAACACACAACGAGCGCGGGCGCTTGCGCGTGTGTTGTCCCCACCCGACCCGCGCCCAATCCCGCTCTCTGTGTGTTTCACACTCTTTAATAGTTATAATAAATGTACAGGAGAAATTTAATTCTCCAAGTATCGTAAGCAGCCCCTGTAGTATGCCGCCTCGATAAAGCTGTTATATCCACATTTATCTGTCAAATTCGAGTGATAAACTTAAAAAAATTAAAAAAAATTATCGCAATAGTGAACATGGCGAGTGCAGTGACGAAACATTTTTATGTCATCACGAGCGCCGGCGACCAATGACTGCAAAAGATTAACACAGTGCCAAACATGGCTGCAAGGTCGCAGCTAATTTTAAAACATTTGCACAGTAATTTTATCAACGTAAAAATCGAGCGCGACAAACGAAATGAAAAGATATTTTTGTTTCATGGTTTTCGCGGCGATGATGATTAAACGACAAAAATAGCTATATACGCAAATTCATATCGTTGTCTTCGTTCTGCAAATGTCTAACAATAATTCATTACCAGATAAGCAAATGTACCTTTGCTATTTTATGTTTCATCGTTTTTGCGGCGATGAATAAGCGCAATTTTATATTGTTGTCCTTGTTCTTCAAAATGTATAAATTAGTTAATTACCAAATAAGCAAACTTAGATTTATTAACTGAATTAAATATTATCACGGGGAGGTTTATCACACATATTCTGCCATGCTACGGCCACCGAGGTCCGTTTATTCAAACCCTATCACGTTAGGCTCGTTACTAGACTGCAAGCTCTTCCGGGACACATAGGTCTCGTTTAAATTAACTTAATGCTCCCTTTGGTGCACCCACGTTCAAACGTAAGTAAGGAGATATTGCCTTTTAGTTTTTATATGAAAGATGACAGCATTAACAGGCTAACACCGCGGATGTATTAGCTGTAGTAATGTTAGAAACTTGTTTTTACTACGCGTACTTTGATATTTTACTTATATTGTTTTTGGTATGTTATAGCAGAAACCTTTTTATGTTTTTTATGGTACTATAACATTTTAACACGCTTCAGTATACGAAGTATAATATTATGTGATTATGACATTTTTTATAAGACCCTTATGAAGTGTTACAGAAGGATTACAATAAGCTTGTATTGAAACTAGTAGTTCTTTTAAAGA